GACTGGACAGGGAAAATGTGGCACATATACACCATGGAATATTATGCAGCCATCAAAAACAATGAGTTTGTATCCTTGGTAGGTACATGGATGAACCTGGAAACCATCATTCTCAGCAAACTGACAGAAGAGAAGAAGATCAAACACCGCATGTTCTCACTCATAGGCGGGTGTTGAACAATGAGAACACATGGACACAGGAGGGGAGCACTACACACTGGGGTCAGTTGGGGGGAAATGGGGGTGGGATGGTGGGGGTTGGGGAGCGGGGGAGAGATAGCTAGGGGAGAGATGCCAGATGTAGGTGATGGGGAGGAAGGCAGCAAATCACACTGCCATGTGTGTACCTATGCAACAATCTTGCATGTTCTTCACATGTACCCCAAAACCTAAAATGCAATAAAATAAATAAATGGGAAAAAAATTGTCTGAATTTTCAATACACAAAGAAAAGTTTTAGTGAATTTATTTCAGTAAGATGGATAATTTGTTCAAAGTACCAAACACATTTGCTTTTATAATTCATGCCATTTGTATTACATGTCTACATGAAATAGAGAAAGAATATAGGACATGTAACTACACATGCAACCTTGGGCTTTCCAAAATGTTTAAAGTACCAAATTCCCTTGGTGCCAATTGTTTTAGGCATTTCATCTTCACTCATTTGCTTCCTAAATATAGCATAGGTGTGATGTACCCTGTAAATTTCAAATTCACATAAAGAAGTCCCAGCCTTTGAGGCAACTCTTAATTGAATACCAAACGAAAACGTTAGTGTCATCTGAAATGTTTCTGAATAAATAGTTGCTTTAAAGTCTTCTTTGATTTCTATGTTCATTAGTGTCCAAATTCAGAATGGGAACCAAGTTGGGGAGAAAAAGAAACGAAGTCTTTCAGGACAGTCTTTGAAAGAGACTTGGTAAAGAGCACATTGGGACCCAAAGGCATGGACAAAATTCATCTAAGCAGTGGACGAGATGCCTCTCTTATGATAACCAATGATGGTGCCACTATTCTAAAAAGCATTGGTGTTGACAATCCAGCAGCTAAAGTTTTAGTTGATATGTCAAGGGTTCAAGATGATGAAGTTAGTGACGGCACTACTTCTGTTACCATTTTAGCAGCAGAATTATTAAGGGAAGCAGAATCCTTAATTGCAAAAATGATTCATCCACAGACCATCATAGCAGGTTGGAGAGAAGCCACAAAGGCTGCAAGAGAGGCTCTGTTGAGTTCCACGGTCGATCATGGTTCTGATAAAGTTAAATTCCGTCAAGATTTAATGAATGTTGCTGGCACAACATTATCCTCAAAACTTCTTACTCATCACAAAGACCACTTTACTATGTTAGCTGTAGAAGTGGTTCTCAGACTAAAAGGCTCTGGCAACCTGGAGGCAATTCATACTATCAAGAAGCTAGGAGGAAGTTTGGCAGATTCCTGTTTAGATGAAGGCTTTCCGTTGGATAAAAAAATTGGAGTGAATCAACCAAAATGAATTGAAAATATTCAAATTCTTATTGCAGACAATTTTGTCTGTATGGATACAGGCAAAATAAAGATATTTGGTTACTGGGAAGAGTTGATTCTACAGCAAAGTTTGCAGAAATAGAACATGTGGAAAAGGAAAAAATGAAGGAGAAGGTTGAATGTATTCTTAAGCATGGAATAAATTGCTTTATTAACAGGCAGTTAATTTATAATTATCCTGAACAGCTCTTCGGTACTGCTGGTGTCAGGGCTATTGAGCATGCAGATTTTGCAGGTGTGGAATGCCTAGTTCTTGTCACGGGTGGTGAAATTGCCTCTACCTTTGATCACCCAGAACTGGTGAAGCTTGGAAGCTGCAAACTTATCGAGGAAGTCATGATTGGAGAAGACAAACTCATTCACTTTTCTGGGGTTGCCCTTGGTGAGGCTTGTACTATTGTTTTGCGTGGTGCCACTCAACAAATTTTAGATGAAGCAGAAAGATCTTTGCATGATGCTGTTTGTGTTCTTGCACAAACTGTAAAGGACTCTAGAACAGTTTATGGAGGAGGCTGTTCAGAGATGTTGATGGCTCATGCTGTGACACAGCTTACCAATAGAACACCAGGCAAAGAAGCTGTTGCAATGGAGTCTTATGCTAAATCACTGAGAATGTTGCCAACCATCATAGCTGACAGTGCAGGCTATGACAGTGCAGACCAGCAGCACAGCTCAGAGCTGCTCACCATGAAGGTAACACCACTGCTGGACTGGATATGAGGGAAGGTCCCATTGGAGATATGGCTCTCCTGGGTATAACAGAAAGTTTTCAAGTAAAGCAACAAGTTCTTCTAAGTGCAGCTGAAGCAGTAGAGGTGATTCTACATGTGGACGACATCATCAAAGCAGCACCCAGGAAGCGTGTCCCTGATCACCACCCGTGTTAAGCATTCCCATGTGCTGTTAATCTCTGGACCAATTTCTAGCAAAGTTGTGTTTGAAAGACAGCCTCTTAAAGAAGACTGTGGAATCTGTTTATTGGTGCCCATTATATCCTTAAGTTTGGACATTTAGCTGAACTTCTCTTTTAACATGGGTCTAATTTATTTGCCATGTAATTTTCCATACAAATCAGTTGATTGAAAAGTTCATTTCTCATACTGTACATTAAAATAAAAATTTGAACAATTAAAAAAAAGATGTGACAGATAATTTTTTTGGCTAAGACAGGGTAGATTCAAGTAGTCAGGTAATAGAAAAGGGAGTGCCTTGTATATCAACTCATGCTGGAATTTGTGAAATCGTATAAAGTTTGATAGAAAAAATGTTAAATTCATCAAACCTTGTTTAGTCATAATCCTTACAATTTCTGATTTAGTATAACATCCTGAATAAATTTTTTCAGACTGATGGAGAGAAGAAATTATTCTTTGCAATATGTAAATTTCTGACTAATAGGAGTAAAAGAAAATAATTGGTTCCTTAGGATATTTCTGGTTACTTATGAGACGTTTGAGGAGGGACTCTGTCTAACTATTGTTTTTAACCCTTGTTGTTGGTGGGTAGACAGAACATTAATGCTACATGAAAGATAGTTACTCTTGAATCCTCAAGAGAAAGTAGGTTATTTTTTTCTCTGTTATCCAACAAACTTTTAACAATTCTAAAGAAAGAAGTAAAAAGCACTTAGTTTTCAGAAGCATGTTTCAGCTTCTTGCATCAGGAGTAGGCCAGATGGCCACGTTCTGTATGGCTTTATAAATATTCCTTTTTGTTCCATGTAAAAGTTAATGGCTAGTTTTAAACCATGGTATCATTTTGAAATCAGACCTTATGTGCTTAACTTCATTCAAACTATTTCTATTTTGTTAGACTGTAGGAAAACACAGAGCTGAGCTATTAAAATTCCAGAGCAATTTGGAATTGCCAACAATATGTACTGGAGAGATGGGGATGGAGTCTGAAGTCAAACGAATTTGAAACTAGTCTCCTTTTACATGCTGGGTGACTTTGGACAAGGGGAAAAGCTACCCGTGGGGTTTCTGTGAATGTTAAATGAAATAATACATGCAGAGTGCTTGAAGTAATGCTAGGGACATAGCAAACCAAAAAAATGTTAGCCAGTTTATTATTAGAAGGGAAAAACTCCTATTAATATTTTCTTATTTATGTTTGTGTTTTTGTGGTTGTCATGAAACAGGCTACTATTTGAGAATGTAAGAATTTTAACCATTTACAAAATGGTATGTGATATGACATGTATATGATCTTTCACAAGTGAAATGATAATGGAAAGTTTACTGAAAGTGTCAGAACAGCTCTAGATAAAATAATTTTTGCTTAATTTGGAAATAAAAGTATGAATCTGGGTTTAAACTAAATTTATTATTCTGTTAAAGTCACATGAATATGGAAAAAAATCAGTATCACTTCTAACTAAATCTGGCCTTGAAACTTCTTTGACATGGTCTTCTTAAAATATATATATTATATATTCTAAATAGCATGTCATTTAGAAATATACTATTTCTAAACTGAAGTATCTAACTGATATTTCTGATATATATACACTTATATATGATATATGATTATATATGATATATATTATCTATATGATGTATATTATATATGATATATATTTCTAACTGATATAACTAGAAGTATGTCTGTTCTTAGATATATGTAAATTATATTTTAATACTAGCCTACAATGATGGTACAAGAAGATAAGAGATCTATATATACATTTATATATAAATAGTTCAACAACAAGATTTTTATGTAGAATAACTTTCTACAGTTTTATTTAGGGTCATTTCTATACAGAAAAAATACACATTTTATCTCCTTTTTGTGCTAAGATCTGGAGATGCAATGGTGCCTCCCTCCCTTCCTGGAGCTTACCAAACAAAACAAATTCACTAAATAAAATTATTCCTAATTGTGTTTTAAGTGCAGTGAAGAGAACATAGGAGGGGCCGAGTTAAACCATCTGTTTGTGTATATCTGTGTATGGGTGTGTGTCTGTGTCTGTGTGTGTCTGTGTATCCTAGAGATGTGCTTTAGTTGGAGTGGTCAAGGAAGTTGAGAACTGAAAGAACCAGTCAAACAAACAGTAGGGAGAAGATTATAGCAGGTACAAAGGTCTTGAATATTCAGCAGATATGAGGAGCAGAGGCTCTGTTTTTTAATCACTTAAAAAGGAAAAGAAGTGAGATTGCTGTCTGAAGATCTTACATTTATATGGCACTCATGTATAGATTTCCAGTGAAAAGTTGGACATCATGAAATGATGGGTTTCCTACCTACCAGTCCCCAGTGTTTGTCTTTGACTGGGGTGTTTTCTGTATATATCTGACCTGATTTCTATTGCTAGCCTGTCTTCCCAGGGACTTTGGTGAGCTGAGGTCAAAGAGAGTGGACTGCACCTAGGAAAGAAGGAAAGCCTTTTGAAATAAAAGTGCCCTTGAAAAATATTCTGCTGCTTTAATCTCTCCTCTTTACAGAAAGCTTAAGATGCTCCTAAGAATTTGACTCACTAAACTTCAAGAGCATTTTTATTAGGTGTAAGATCTTACTTTGACTTTAGGTGCCAAATCACACACCAGGCAACCCACACTGAATTCTCTGTTGCCGTAAGTGCATAGATTTCAGTGTTCTAATGCCCCTATGAGCTAAATTTACTTATTATTTGAGTTCAAAATTTAACCGAATAGTAGATATATGTGTATAAAACAACAACAGTTTTACCAAATGGTTAGAATACTTTTCCCAAAGATCGTAATGCTGGCCTTCAGCTAATAATAGGATGTGCCTGCTGGACTGAATGACATGGTTGATACAAAAGACAGATGTAAGCCATGGCTCCCCAAACTGGAGTAGGGATGAGCATGTCAGCCACACATGCCAAAGGCCAGGCACTGATATTCTTACTGGCAAGACTGCTCAGGATGTATGTGGCGTTCTTTTCCCTGGCCACCCTTAAGGAGTTTATGAATGGGTTCCATCAGCTTCAAACAGCAAACACACTTTGGCCTGTATGAACTGAAACCCATCATAGATCATAGCCACAATCACCTTCCTCACGTATTCTAGTTCTCAAGCATATTTTGGATCATAAAACAACAAAATAATGACAAAAGCAACAATAACAACCAAAAGTAACTTAAGTAAGACTTTAGTATGAAATGTATTGCACTGTAATCATTTCAATATTACAATGCATTAAAGATGTATGTATCACTCTATTACTCTGTGCTCATCCTCCCTTTTCATACAAAATAAAACATAATCTGCGTATTCATTGTTCTGCAGTTTGTATTTTGCACTTGACAGTGTGTTGATTCATAGAGAAGCTTCTTGTGTTGTTATGGAAGAACTTTACTGAGATATAACTCACATGCCATCTATAGAGGGTATATAATTTATTGATTTTTACTATATTCAGACAGTTGTTGGTTAATATCTACCATTCTTTGGCCATAATGAATAACAGGATTTTCTCTGCACAGATATGTCCATTTAAGTAAAGATGCCAATGCAGCTAAATAGAATCACTCAAAAACAACTCCAAAATGAGCCAGGGAGAGTGGAGGGAAGGAAAGGGAGGAATGCATCCAAACATAGCCCTGTCTTCCATGAACACTCAGTAATGTCATCAAAACATGATGCAATTAAATTTTACCAAGTTTATTGCCGTCCTTGATGCTTTCCAATTTTTTTGACAACAGTTTTGCCTTCTTCAAATTCAAATGGTGTAATTGGGTCTTGGTAGTTGATGTTTATCTTAATTGAAACAGATTCTCTTCATCCTTTTTCTCTGAGACTCCTCCTTTGAGACTGAAAGGTCATTTTAAATCTGTACCGCATTTGAGAAGCCACATAATGAATTCAAATAAATTCTTGCCTATTAAAAGGAGGCTTCTCTTCTTAACTTCCAGAGCTTACATAGAATAAACCATTTGATTTTTGTCTAACTTTTCTTTTAAAGGAACTTATTGTGCTTACTTTTTAATGCTGTAACTACAGAGAATGGGGAAATCCTAGGTTTTCATTTATTCTTGTCAGAAAAAAAGTGTATTTTGTTCAGTAATTGCAATAAAATCCTACTGGGGTATACAGCTACTAGTCAACAAATTTAAGGGATATTCTTTAGTTGCATTACTTTAAGGATTTCTTATCTATTATCTAGCAACTTCACTTTTAAACGTTTACTCTATGTACTTGTGTAAAGGTTCAAAAATATATGTCCAAAATGTTCTGCTGCCGTTTTTGTAACAGAACACTGGAGAGAGCCTAATTGTCAATCGGTACATGACTGATTGAACAACTGATGCACAACTATAAAACAATACTGTGCATCTATGAGGAAGATCTTTCATGTGCTGGTATGGCTGTGGCGCTCTCTACAGATGATGCTTACTATTGTTATTATTGTTATACTTTGAAAAGATGACATGCACACTCCCATGTATCCACTTTCATTAGTTTCTTTGTATATACCTTTAGGGTTTATGTAAATGCAATGAAAATATAAATTCTATTCTCTTCCTCCCTTTTTACACAAAAGAAGTATAGTCTGCATATTCATTGTTCTGTGGCTTGTATTTTGCACTTGACAGTGTGTCAATACATAGAGAGGCTTCTTGTGTTGTTTTGGAAGAACTTTATGGAGGTATAACTCACATATCATACTCTTCATCAATAGAGGGTGTATAATTTAGAGATTTTTAGTCTATTCACACCGTTTTGCCACCATCACCAAATTCAATTGAGAACAATTTCCTACCACTATAAGAAACCCCTTACCCTGTAGTATCACCCTCCAATTCCGCCATTGCCTGCTCTATATCCACTGCCCCTCCTGCACCCCGCAGCCCTAGGCAACAACGACTCTACCTTTTTTTCTCTATAATTTGCCTATTCTGAATGTTTCTTATAAATGGAATCATATAATATGTGGTCTGTTGTGACATGCTTCATTCAAGGCTTATTCATGTTGTAGCACATATCAGATTGTATTTTTTAGGAGCAAATAATATTCCATTGTATGACTATACCACATTTCGTTTATTCATCTGTTGATAGATATTTGCATTGTTTCACTTTTTGGCTATTTCAAATTGTACTGCAGTGAACGTTTATGCAAAAGTGTTTGTATGTTCAATTTTTCTTTCTTCTGGGTACATTCCTAGTAGTGGAATTGCTGGGACAAATGGTAGCTCTAAGTTTAACTTTTTGGTTGTTTTCCAAAGTGTCTGCATTTTCATCTTTCTTACAGCAGAAAGTGATTCTGTTGAATGGCTCTATCATTATTGATTTAGTCAAGGTGTATTTTTAAGTGGAGAAGTTAAGGCACAGTGTTCCCAGTTATGGAAAAATATGCAAAGACTGTACATACATAAATATGTTTCACTCAAAAGCATCTTTCTGCATGTGCACTCAAGGTAATGGTAAAGTTGCTAGCTTTGAGGAAGAGGTGGCTACAAGTTTGAAATCTGAGGTAGAACGGGACTGAGTACTCACCATTTTAAATTTGGGGGAATTTTACTATGTGTGCTAATTAATTTTTCAGTTGAAAATATGATTCATTAATGTAAAAAAGAAGAAATGTATTTTCTTGGAACTCCTTTGATCAGTGTTGGTCAGGCCAGGGGTGTCTTGACCCGTGCTTTGAGTCATCCTGCACTGTGAGGTGCTTAGTGCTGTACAAGCACTATTCTTGACATCTGCTCTACTTGACACCATTTTTAGTTACTAGGGCAAGAAAAAAACAAAAAACAAAAACGATGATTGCTTCTCTGTCTTTAAGCCAAGATATCATTTAAAAACCAGACATTTAGCTCTTACTCTAAATGAGTGTTTCTCAAATGTTTTATTCAAATTAATCCACCTCAAAAGCAAAATAGGAGGGAAAATTAGGGTGAACATCTGGGTGAACCTTGGGATTGAGAAATAGGAGGGCAGTATATGAACTAATCATGAATGGTATTAGGAAATGGAGCTGGACAGTCTGTCTGAAGTCCTTCATAGTTTCTTGTACATTCTTTCTGAAATATCGTGTATTGATAACTGGAAGAGGGAGTCCTTACTTTCTGCACAGTAGCCATCATGT